GCAGACCTAATCTTCCTTTGATAGGGCACCGCAGGAGAACAGCATACTCTCCAGAACTGCAATGCTGTTCCTATCAGACAGCCACAGTCCCACCAGGAGGACTTTCCCCCTCTAGTTGATTAGCTCTGCTCAGCACTGTTTGGGACAGATATACACATACATAGAAAGGGAAGTGTGTCAGGGCTGGGAAGATGGACTGGGTTAGTATTCCCTTTTTTTAAAAGATAATACTCACATAGAGCTGCTCTGCAATGTTGGACTTTGGAGTTGTTGGGTGGTGGAGATTTTTTTTTCTTTCAGAGCCAGCCATTTTGTGAAAAGCGGGTGAAAAAAATCTGGCAAAATATAAGAAAATAGTGAGTGAGATGGAAGTGAGAAGATGAAGAGCAGCCAGGGTGCCTCGTAAACTGCTCTAGCCTTTTGAGATAGACTTCCCCAGGAGAAGCTCACAGTAAAGTGAAGTCAGCTTGGTGGGCTATGCAGTGTCTGAAATTGCAGAGCCAGAGGTGGAACTCCCTACTAAGGTTTTCAAAGGGCTCAAACAGATTTTATAGGATGATATCTGAGCCTGATTTAACTTGTTAAGCACCTACATATCAAGCATGAGAGGCTTATTACTTGCAGGCTGAAGTTCAATGTACTGAAGACATAGGACTCTGCTGCCATGGCTGATATGCCCATCTTTTGCATAGTGTTTTTCCATAGTCTTTACAATCCTATTCATGGAAGGGGAACTGAGGGATAAGGGATGGGAAAGTAAATTGTTGGCGATCCCTGACAAAGCCACTGCCAATGCTGGCAATCAGTAGCAAGTCATGCACAGTGTCTTCTCGTCGTGGCTGCCTTTTGCAGGCAATCTCATCCTGCCTGACGCTGCCCAAACCTTTTGTCCAAGCAGGAACCAAACACTTGCAAACCCTTCCAGTGTGGACGGGCAGCCTGCCATAGCCCTGGCCTGGAGGACCGAGGACCTGCAATGAAAAGAGAGACAATCAGAGGCAGAGACATCCCATTGTGTCCCCTCAGATCTGCTGAGACTCATCCTGACAGGCTTTTTTTTTTCCTTTTTGCATTTCCACTTTCCATTAAGCCTCCTCAGCCCTTTTATTAAGGTTTATTTTTACCTCAGTTCAAGAGGTTAGGAGCACGCGGCTCTGGCTTTGACTGCTTGGCATTTTGTGAAGATTGTGTCACATGGTGCTTCATACCTGGCCAAAAATAACTCCCTGCGCACGGGAGCTGCTTACCTACCTGCAGAGACCGCTTATTCCCAACCCTTTCGGTTTTGTTTTAGGGGGATTGCTGAGAATGACGGAGGGAGAGCAGGTGAAGAGCCCCTGGGTTTGAAGCCTGAGGGATGGGGAAAGGCAGCATGATATGTTTCTGCTTTTTCAAATAGATGATCCTCATGTTTTCCTCCCTCCCCTTTGCTATGGGAGAGGAGAAGCAAAGAAAAGGCAACATCTCTCAGCACCAAGCCGGCCCCGTGTCTGAAAAGGAAAAGTATGGGAAATACTGGAGGAAAGAGAAGATTTGTTTTAGCAATGAGCAATCATTGGACAGCATTAGGGGTGTCCTGAGGAAAATCAAATTGATTTACACCAGCGCAGTGCCAAGGGAAGGTTCCCGCTGAGCCCAGTGTGAGGTCCTCATGCCCTCAGCAGGAGGGACGGGGACCCGACAGCATCCAGCAGTGGGCTTCATCACAGCAGCTCTTCTTTTCAGAAGTGGAGCAAGAGCAGCAAATGTAAGGCTGTAACGTGTCTCTGGTGCCTGTGTCAGGGCTGCTGTGGGACCGGTGCCCAGGGAGGGCTTGGCTGCAGAGCGACCATAGCCATGCCCCACTTGCCTCCCCTCCTCCTCCAGGGTAGATGCAGTTCTGGCGACAGTGGCTGTGCCCAGACTCTGCACAGGGACAAACAGGTTCAGAGTGGGAATTGGCCGTCCAACAAAAGTTGAAGTGAAAAAATGGCTCCGTTGTGCCTGCTAACCCCTGTGCATCCAGAATCACTCACCTGCAGGAGGATACCTGGCTCTTCCTCGAGAACCCTCCCAAGAACCGGCTGTGCCCTACCGCTCTGTACTAAATGGCATATCCTGCAATTTTCACCCCAAACCAAGCTGTCCAGGACAACAAACCCAAAACACAGCTGAAATGAATCAGCTGGAATATATTATTTTCAAATTCCTTTCTTTTCAATCCTGACTTTTCTTTTAGTGAAAATCAATGACATCCCGAACCTCACCTTTTTCTCTCACGAACATCAGAATAAACACTGACAGCCTTATTTTCTGCAAGCCATGTCTTTTTGTGGTTTGGGTTGGTTTTTAATTTATTTTTGAACTGGAAAAAATACAGTGAAGTGTTTCTCCTCTTTATTTTAATAGCTCTTTGCCTTCCAATCAGGTAAGGGAAGGAAAAGCTTATTATATCTGGAAATTCCTGGTTAGCCGCATTGCACTTAGTAGCAGTTGGTGTCCAAATTCCACCCTTTTGGTTATTCAAAATCCATGTTGCTGAAACTCAGAGGAGGGACCAGACTCTTCGCTGAAGGTGATGTGATGCCTTCCCATGCACATCCTGCACCCTACCCTGCCTGAGCAAGGGGATCCCACCCTGCTGGCTTAACACATGTGCTGGTTTCTTGGAGTGTAGTGAAGAAAATAGCAGGAGCGACAGAGGTGGAGGTAATACTGCTCTAAACAGATAGCTGGGGGATTCGTTTTCTATATTAAAGTATTGATTTTTCATAAACTAAGAGCACAAAAGGCCATGGAAAACAATCAAGTCCCAGTGCAGGAAGCTGAAAAATTAGACAGCGCTCAAAGCCCTCATGGCTGTGCTTTGTGCTGAGACTTTCAGTTAAAAAAGCCTTATTTATAGGCAGTGAACTTCAAAAATACAAGAGGTGTGTTTCTAACACCCTGGAAGTTTGTTTCCTCTCAGATGGGATGCTGTGAATCTCCAATTCAGGCAGGCAGCGTCAGAAGAACCAGACTCCTGAAATTCCTTGTGTGTTCTCCTTATGGCTATGCTAAATAGATCCTCAAAACAGCCTTTCATTTCAGCATCTCAGCTGTTGCGTTATCATCCTGTGATGGGAAATCAGATATGCAAAAAGACAGAGAGACAACACACTATTTCCTTTACTTTCTGTCAGCCTTTCTATAGAAACTCTGACTTCAATCAGAAGTGGAGCTAGAGAAGTTCAAACCTGAATTAAGGTGTCACCTGGTTTCCAGCAAAAGTGATGAATCACTGGAAAATCCTTTTCAGGGAATGTGGTTAGATTGCTCATCCTGAGACTGGTGTTAAAGACTGCATGTCCCTGCTTAAACCGTAACTCAATTGAGGTTCATGCAGAAACCAGTAAGTGGAAGAAATCTATGGCCTTGGTTACACAAAAAAGCAGGGCAGTAAATCATAGTCATCTCATGTTTTAAATTTACAAAGCCATTACATTCAGAATTTGTTAGATTTCAAGTTTTGGTTCTAGATCATTTTTATTTCAACAAAAGAAAAGAGAACAGTAAGGATTTTGGCATTGTGCTCAAATGTAAATCAAGGCACTGTCAAACTGGGGTGGAAGTCATATCTGGACCTAGACTTCGAGGCACCATAGCCTTGTTATCAGCATGGGATTGGAAGCCTGGATCCATTGCTAGGAGGTATTTGTGTAGGAATTAGCTTCTTACAGTTTTACTCCAAGAGGGGACCAAATCCCCAAACCAAATGACTCTCTAGTCTAAGGTACATATCTGGCATATCGAATAGGACATTCTCCCCAGTTTCTTTGTAAGAAAACAAGACACACCAACAAGAAACAAAAATTAAGTGGGTGAGTTTATCTGTGTCACCTATCATATCATGCCCCACAGGGTGATAGCAATGTCTCTGCATCCAGCAGGGAAATATCCAGCAGCAGCAAAGGGGCACATGTAGATATGTGGACACCTCAAACATGCCAGGAACATCTCTACCACACATGTGCACCTGAAGCCCCTGGAGGTGCCTGAGAAGGCAGCCAGTGCCCAGCCATGCACAGATGTACCTGAACAATTCAGACCATAAACCTGATGTGCTCAAGGCACATCGGGCTCCCCGTGCCAGGCACCGTCTGGTTTATCCACACATGCACAGCAGCCATTTGTCCAGGACTTCTGGATATTTGGCATCCCAGTTAAAATCTGTTTATTTCCATTTATTCCTTCCCTTTGGACAAAAACTTCTAAATAGGGAGGGAAAAAAGGGACACTTTTAGGGAAATGAAGATGTCTGTCAGCCTGAAATATTGCTGCCCCCATCGCACACAAGGATTGCTTTCGTGGGGCAGGGGACAAACCTTGGGTGGGAGATACCTGAGCTGAAATCCTGTGTTTCTGTAACCAAGATCCAATTTGTATGGAAATGGTTTGTTTGGCTTTGGAGGACAGACCAGAGAAATAGTTCAGGTGGCAGAACCAGTGACCCTGGTAAACTTTCACTCTTTGAGCCTTATGGCTGTGTCTTTTTCTATTAGATGTGATTTTAAATAAACATGAAGGGACCAGACAGCCACAGAGGCAGGTTTCTAAGCAACACAAATAAATCCACATCTGTGTTTATAGGTGCAGGCAGGACATCTCTGGACAGTTTTTAGTAAGGTTTTTTTCTTCTTCTTCTTTCAGAGACACAGAGTTTAAGTACAGACCACCAGAAAGAAAAATAATAAGCAATTAGCATTCTTTCATGGGGGTTGATAATTGTAGGGGACTGCATGAAGAGATGCAGCAGAAAAGGTGTCCTGATTCCCAGGACTGATGTGACGTGGCTACAGATCTGACTGTTGTCATCGCATGTGGACATTTTGGCACCTACCGTTGACTGCCCAGGCCAAGAAAGTCACTGTGAGGAAGGTGGTGAAAGGCAGAGTTGCATATCATGATCATGAGCAAGCACAGGATGGGTGGGGAGAAAAAGAAGGGTAGTCCCAGTTTTGCAGAGCCTGGAGGCAGATGATAAACAGTTGCACAGGGCAGGAGATAAGCCAGGACAGAAACACTGTCTCACGCTCTGCAAAGGTACTTTTTTGTTTGTTTGCTTCTCCCATGTTCAGAGACGCTCAATCGCAAGTGTTGGGAGATTTAACTCTGTGCAGATGGGAGGAAATAATTTTCAAACTGCCTGTTTGTAAGCTAGCTCGAAAATGACAGCACTGCCACTGCTTCTTTTGTTCTAGACACCCAATTAAACTGGCTGTTTACACCTTCCTGCCAGATTCCTGTCTCCCAGCTGAAGAGAGCTGAGCAGCTAATGAGGCACAGCACAGGAACCAGCAGGGGAAAGGCGAGAGATTTCGGAAGAATTGCAGACTCAGCCCGTGCTGGTGGTGAAGCAGAGGGAGATTGGGCTGTGCCAAGGTGGGATCCTTCCCAGCCCCTTGGGGGAAGAGGGGCACATCTGGGTGGTAGCCCAGGCTGTGGGGTATGGGCAGACAAGCCCTGACTCCTGCTCCAGGACACTGAAACAGAAACAGCCGTGCCTACACCCTTCCTGGTCCATGGTGCAGCCAGTTTCTCACTACTGGACATTAGTATTTCAGGATGGAGTTTATGAGGGTTTTTTCACACGTTGTAGGAAGAGTAAGGAGGAAAAAATAAGAAGAAACTGAGGGATGCTGGAATCAAGGTGGAGGTGGTCATCAGAGTGCTGTCAGATGAAAGAAGCAACTTTTGGAGTAGCTTAAAAAAGGTTCCCTCAGTTCTCGGAGCAGCCACTGTAAATCTGTGCCCTAGGGCTCTCTCAGTCTCTTTATTTCCCCAGGAAAAGGTGGAAGTCAGCAAGCAAGGGGAGGGGGGGAAATCAGTGACAGATCTCCTGTATCTGTCTCAGAAATGTTTTTTTCTGCTGAGAGAAGCAGATTATGCACTAGCAGTAGGGAGTTGGTCATCAGAGCAACCCAACTGCCTAGGCAAAATGGTTGCTGTGGTGCTAACAGAGGTCATTAACAGGTTGCTGCCCAGGATAAGTGATGAGTGTTCCTATGTCCTAAGACTAGTGCAGATGGAGGCAGATGTTTCTATCTTCTGCAACTGCAGGACTTGATGACTGTGGTGACCGCTTGAGGAAAAGCTATGCCCACCAACCGCTGGAGAAAGACTCCTGGTGGAGGTCAGAAATCACATCTCCCTAATCTGTGAACTTCTGAAGCAGGAAGCCCAGCATTGCTTCTTTGCTGAGGATGATAAGGTGAGACTGTCTTCTCCTGTCATTTTGAGCAGGACAACCTATGTTTTCATGGTACTGACTTAAACCGCTAGCATCTTACACAACAGTAGATTGTCTGTTGTAATACAAACGCATGCTTGTTTGCCAGCTTTCTTAGTGTCCAGTGGGTAAGGCAAAATTTATGTTGATCTTTTTATAAAATCCTGGTAAACGCAGAGCCTTGTGTTATGAGTTGCAATGCCCACTGGCCTTGTGATTTACTAGGAACAAGTGTGAATGTTGCATCCTCTTTCTTAAGGACTCCGTTATAACTTAGGTGTGATGATTTAAGATGTGTTTGCTCTCCTTTTAGGGAGAGCTGGAGATCTGCAAACAGGGTAAAAACAGCCCCAAAGGGAAAATTCTGCTCAGCAGACTTTCAGATGAGCCCTTGAAGCTGCAGCCTCTCTGTGTGTGGTGAGGATCTCAGATGTTCCCTCATCCCGAGGCTGTGTGAGTCTGATTAGGTTTGATTGCATATACTGCAGGCATTATCGATCAGCCGGATGATTGATGCGTTGGTTGCTGTCAGTGCCTCATCTTTGATGTAGTTGCATGAATTATTTGCCAAGGCCAAGCACTTTGTCCTCAGAAGTGTTAACTATATAATATATACATGTGTCTATATTTATAAAATTTCTTTCTCAACAGAGATTAAATTAGTTCCAAAGGTTCTGTATGCCTCCCCCAGATTGTGGGGAAGTGCAGATCCATAAGTCAGTGGATTGACACAGATGGAAACCTGAAAGGTTGTGTGGTATGTGATGAATCCTTTCCACTTTGACACATTCCCTCTGAGGCTATGAGTGGCAGAAGCTTCGCTGACATTGGATTTGCCCTGCACGGAGCCTGGTGGTTTGGATCCTGGGGATCAGAAGAGTCCCTAGCGGTAAGGCTTGTGACCCTCCTCTGAGCAACTCAGCACAATGTTTATCCTTGCAAGTGATGGCAGTATGTATATAAATATATAGATATTATAGCTGAAGTGGCACCAGATGGATAATTGCAGCCCCTGAGTGCCTAATCTACTCTCCAGGACATGGGCAGTTTTCTGAGCCAACAAAACTTAATTGAACTTTCTGTTCCAGCTGGAAAAGGTTATGGATCTAGCGAGTGCAAACGGAAGGCAGGATGAAAAGGTCAGATGTTCTGTTCTCTTTGTAATGGATTGACCGGGGACATGTTTTTATCTTTCTCACAACCGCTGGATTGTAAAACTTAATTAGCAAGTCACTTCTCTCCGCTGTCTGAAGGCACGTGTATGATGATTACACATAGATCACATTTTATGGACATGTTATGTTTTCATTTGAGAGTAACAGCCTGCATGAGGGATGTTTTTGCCACATATTTACACCAGTAGTTCAGAGAAAGGCCAGTAGGACAAAATGGAGAGCTATCCTTGACATCAGATGTGCCAGTTCAGCTATCGACAACATCAACTGATGGAACTGCAGCTGCATCCACTGGTCTCTCACCCGCTGTGTTGGGAGGTGAGAAAGGAAGTATTGCAAACACAGGCAAAACCAAGAGAGGTGGAGAGGGATGGACATACAGACAAGGGACACTATAACATGATGAGAGAGAAAATACAAAGAAAGAGGTAGGAAAATGAAAATGGGTTTGTAAATGGTAAATAAAAATGTGTAAGCATACAATGACAAACACAGGGATGTCTGAATTCAAAGGACAGACCTGCTGCTCATACAGCCTGAATGGAGAATGTGGCTTTTCTCAGTCAAAAAGTGTGATCTCATCATCTGAAAGCATTTCTTTTGTGTCTCCAAAGAGGTGAGAAAATAGAGATGATATTGTTTATTTTTGATTAGACATGAAGGAAAAACATCCATCAGTAAGGACAGTTAAGGACTGGAATAGATTTCTGTGAGATTGAAACCAATGGAGGTTTTTAAGAGCAGGTTAAACAAACATCTGTCAAGAAAGATTTAGATGTAGCTGATTGAGCCCTGGGGCAGGGGTGGACTAGGTGACTGCCTGAGGTCACTTATTTTCAAACTTATTTTCTGTGATTTTAAGTAGTGCCACTTTCTTGCTAGCGAAGCTTATCATCAGAGCATCAAAAATGGTCTCACTGAGTCAAGAACTCCATGTAGAATGTTAGTCACACACACACACAAAGTCACGATCCAAACCATGGAAGATTTTTCACTTATATTTCAATTGGGAAAGGGAGAAAAAGCCTTAAAAGACATTTTAATTTTTCAGTGGGACAATTATGAAATCTAGAACTTCCCCTTCCATCCAATAATATTTTTCCTCATTGGCGTTTTACCTAGATACACAAGGATCTAACTTCTTCAGGTTTTAGCATGCCTTATAAGAAATTCTGCCAGTTCTCTGGAAAGCTTGAACAACTAAATGGAAGGATAAAGAGAGCTGCGCTTAAAACTAAGTGAAAGAACAGAATACCCCAGAGCTAAAGGGAGCTTCTTACCATCTATCAAGTTCTGGGGATTAAGAGCCCAGTGCAATGCTGCTTATTTATCTCTGGAGCCATCACACGTTTAGATTCCAAGTGTTGCTACAGTCAGATTCTTCTTTCTTTTTCTTTTTCTCTTTCTGTGTTTAAGTCTTTTCTAGAGGTCACCTGTTGTCCTCATCAGATGTGCCAAGACTCACGTACCCCAAGCTCCTACTTCCCTCTTCACACCTTCAGCATCTCTCACATTCACAGACTTGGGAAAAGAGCCTAGAACCATGCTGTAGCTGGGACTGTGCATTTTGATAGGGCTGCACGTGGTAAGAAACATTGGTGGAAAGCACAGCCTCTGGCTGGCAGCTTTAGTGAGAATTTCTCCACCGTGTGACTCTCGGGCAGTAGGAAGCCATTTCTGCTTTTGTAGCACATGTCAGTGTTTAGGCACACCAAGCGCTCTGGAGAGATGTCTTTGGCATCAGCAGTCAGGATGAATTCAGATTTTTCTGAGCAGCAGTTTAGGTTTTTGCACTCCTAAAGCTTTGGGACCAGGGTTTTTGATTTGAGTATTTCTCTTCTTAAAGAGCAAGGTAACTGTTTTCCTTTACAAGTGGGTTGTCACATTCATGAGCACCTTCCTTACATAAAGAGGATGGATTGCTGTAGGGAGGGCAGAGAGAATCCAGGAAACAAAGGCAAAAATTCCTACTGAGAAACTCCTTGTGCTGTAAAGCCAGCTCAGGAGGGAAGTGGTGCTGCTGTCAACATAACTGCAGAGGGAAGATAAAGAGGCAGGAGACACAGACTGAGCATATCTACAAGACATCAAACAACACCGAGTCAGTCAAAGCGTCATTATCCATTGGACTATGAACCTTCCCCTCGAATGCTGCCAGATCCATCAGTCGAGGGCCAGTGGTAGAAAAGCAGCGTAGCAGGTACTGGTCACCAGGGACAACAAAACAAGAAACCCTTTAAGCTTTCTGCTCTGCCTGGGAATCTGGACAGAGTTTTCAGTAGGTTCAGGCTGCCAAAGAGAATTGCTTAGAGGGGATGGCTTTGCCACCGGATGAATCAGGCCACAAACTGATGCTGTGTTAGTCTAAAAGCCTCCAGCACTGCCCTCTCCTCTCCTGCCTTCTCCATCCCAGCAATATGCCATGGTTAGGAATGTGATCCCTGGGGAAAAAAACACTAGAGCAACAAGAAAACAAAACAATGCCAACACTAAGCTTTACTTGATGTTGGAGAGAAACAGTTGACTATCAGACATTTCAAGTCCTAAGGAAATGAGCAAATATCAGTGATTTTTCTCTGAAACCTCTCCCTTTGGATCACTTTCTTTTATAACTTTGGATGAGAACTGTGGCCCTTGTGCATGTCAGGAGAACAGCTGCCCAAGCTTCACAGCACGCTGTGTTTTCATCCCTTGATGAGGGAACTGAAATGACAGTTTCCAACAGAAGATACTGGTTGTGTTACATGCAGTAAAGAGCGGAGTGATGACTTGATCATGGTCATTCAGTACTTACATTGGGAAGAGATTTGTTGGCAGAATGCTCTTAAATTAAAATGAAAATATTTTAGCAAAGCCCAATAAATGCAAACTTCAAAGACATGTTCAAACTTAGATGGAGGTGTTACTCTAAATCGCAGTGGTAATTAATCACTGCAACAGCTAAATGCTGTGGATTCTCTGTCACTTAAAGCCCTTAAAAAGACATCCGTCCTTGATTTAAAGAGGTGTTACAGTGTAAATGGAAAGAAAGGGACTGATACAAATTAGTGGGTGAGAGACAAGACATCGGATTAAATGAGAAGTCCCCAGGCAGCAATATGTACATCAATGGTGATGTGAAAGCTACTTCAAAATGGTATGTGAATATTTCCCGGGCAGCGTAATGCCACCTGCTGCACATACCCGGGTGGCAACACCTATCAGAACTTAGTATATCAAAAGGGCCAGTGATGGTGACAAGCGAAATAAGTTTAGGAATCCACAAATCAAATCATCATCATCATCATTGTTATCATCACCATCCTCATCTTCATTATCAACATCTCTTCTGCCATTAAAAGTTTTAATCAACTTAGCCACAGTTTAACCAATTAATTGCTTGGAGATTATCCAGCCCAGTAATCTTGATCACTTAAAGACATGTCATGAAGATAAAAAAAAAAAAAAAAGGAGAAAAAAAACTCCAAACCCACAAAAATAACTGAATCTAAGAAAGTAAACCTCCTAATTGTCAGAGGTAGTTTGTGATACTGGCGGAGGCATATTCTGAGCACTAGGTCTGGGCAGGGGAAGACTCAAGTCTCCTATTCCAAATTTTCAGATAATGGAAGAATTTTCCTTCTGAAAATGGGAAACAGTCCTACATTTACCTATTTTTTATCTTCTAAAAATGGTAACATTTATGCAAATACATGTTCTGTTCGGTCTATATTTATTTTGGCTTTGATTTTGACACTTTTTTCTTTCCCTTCGCATAATCTTTAGGACTGAATTTCTTTTTAAAGCAGGTGGAAATTTCATTAAAAAGCCTTGTAGAGGAGAAGCTTTGACAACCTTTAAAACACCTTTTGGGTTGTTGTTTTTGTTGTTGCGGCTGCTGCTGCTGCTGTTGGGAACATATTTGAAATTGACCTTATCCATAAAAATGACATTTACATGGCATAAATCAGTGCTGTGTAGAGATACCTAAACTAACTAAATACGTGA